GACAGGGGATTGTATGTATATTGCTTGATTGTTCTACCCCTGTTCCCACTCTCCCTACCCCCCTGTATTCTGTGAACACCGGCACCTCTCAAGTATCGCATCAGTTCAGACTGATGTCGATGGAACAGGACACCGGGGCACTGCCACGGCGCAGTGCCAGGATCGCAGTTCGTGCCCRCCCTGCGGTACCTCCAAGACCCAAGAGATTCAGCAGACGGACGACTCCAGCGGCATCAAGTACGGCATTGACAGTACAAGACACCACCGGAGATCTTCCCTCATGCCCGGTCCGAGAGGCCAGCGAGCCTTTGGCTGACTATCGTGGGCGGCTACAGGCATTTACAGACGCCGTAGCCGCCGCCGAGGCTCAGCAGGCTGCGGCAGAGGCAGAACGTCAGCGGCTGGCCAATGAGGCGGCAGCCGAAGCTCAGCGGACAGCTGAGACTGACGAAGCGGCACGAAACAGACGGAATGCCGCCAGCACGGAGTCCCTGATTGCTAGTGAGCATCAGTGGACAATGATACTCCAAGACATGATCTTTGTGCCTACGGAAACGCAGGCGGAGGTAGAGAGAAGTAACCTGGCTACCGTGATGTTGAACGTAATGAGGGGAGTAATGTGGAACAAAAAACTATTGCAGGCACACCTGCACGCGGAACGACAGCAACGATAGCAGTACCAGCAAGACCTGGCCGCTATAACGGCCGGCGTCCGCGATGAAGCAATGCAGCAGCAGCAACAGCAACAACTGATGAACTCTACCATCGCATGCATCAACGGCATTGAGGCCAAGGCCTCAGCAGCGCCAGGCTGCACGACGGACGCGACGAAGCAAATCAACGAACGCATCGATCACGTCGTCACCATCATCAGCGACATAGGTGTTTTCAACGGACCGGACACGATCACCAGCACGGTGGCCGCCATCAAGACGGATATCACCAAGCTACAGACGAGACCGGACGCCGCTACAAAGACGTTCAAGATGCCGCACTTCGACATCTGCAAGTTCGACGACTACAACAAGTCGGACGCTTTGACATGGTGGCAACGTTTCCTCACGGAAGCGTCATGCCGCACTGTCCCGGCGAACGACATGTTGAAGGCACTCTATTTGCAACTGATTGGAGGAGCGCAGGCATGGATGAACCACCTGGCGGCCACCCACAAGTGCACCATCGCCGAACTCCACACRCACATCACGTGGAAGGAGTTCGAGCAGCTACGGTTCACCCGGTTCATGGTCCGCAACGTCGTGAAGGCGGCCATGAATGAGGTGTACACATGCTCTCAGGGGAACATGCCAACTCGAGACTGGACAACGAAGTGGCAAAAGATAGTGACCACACCAGGCTTCGACTTTACGTTTCCAAATCAACGATCCGGGTTCTTCTCGCGATCATGCGCGGGATTGCGATCGGCACTCGGTAATGAGTACGACTATACCACATTCCAGGTCATTCTGGATTGAGCGAAGTTGGTCATCCAAACGGACGACAAGGCCGCTAACGAGAGACAATCCCAACCGCACTATGTGGCTAAGCAGGCCTATCAATGTCCGACACATAACAATGCCATGATTTCTGAAGAAACAAACGATCTCCACGCTGCAGCAACATCCTCGAGTGATGGAGGAATTGTAGCAGCGCTCCCGCCGAACCGTCCCAAGAGAGTTCGGAAGAACAAGGCGACACAAGAAACAACATCGACGGGAACTGGGCAGCAGCCATGGATGGCTTACAAGATAACCAAGGATGTCTATGACCTTCGTCAAAAGTACGGATACTGCCTCTGGTGCAACGGCGTCGCTCATGTGATCACACAACGCCCCGAAAAGGGCAAGGCACGCGTACCCCGTCCAACAAACTCGGGAAACTGAGTTACGCAAGGAGAGGGGCGACGTCTCTCCTCACTCCGCCGGACCCGGTTGCCTTGCTAGCAATCGATGTCACTACCGGGGAGCATGCGTTAGTCGCTGATTCTCGTGCCACATACGAGGATTATGCCGCCCAGCTGGTACCACCATTAGACCAGCCAAGCCACGTGCACGTAGCTAGCGTATGCACAGCCTGTACACCGTCGGCAAGTGATCCGGTCAGTTCGCCACTAATTTCCGAGGACTCGACGACGTGGTCAAGACATGAGGAGCTTGACCCGCTCACGGGAGAGGACTTCGCTTGGATGCCTCTACCCTCGATCGGAACCTTGCCAAGGCCGCATTGCAACGCCTTGATGGCAACTCTACGCTCCTATTTGTACACTACAGTACCAGCTCCGTTGACGGACGACGGGGTAGCGGTTGTCGATCTCCGCTCCTATCTTGCGAAGATTGACTGCGAGCACGCCACCCAAAGGTACGCCGAAACCGACGCACCTTTGCTCTATATCCGCATTCAAATCGGCAAGGCAACCTGTAGTGCCTTGATTGATTGCGGAACGTCTCGCAACTTCATGAGTCAAGCCTTTATGGCCCGCGCAGGTCTTGGCCCGCGCGTTCGAAGGAAGACGCAAGTTACACTCGTGGACGGCGGCACGCAAAAGTCAATTGACCGATGCGTTAATGGAGTTCCGGTCTACTTTGCGCCACTTGCGTGCGAGCCGGTGTCTTTTGACATCCTCGACACCAAGTTCGACATGATTCTAGGCATGTCTTGGTTGCGTAGCGCCGATCATCCGGTGAACTTCCATGACCGAACCGTTCACATCCGTGATCGGAACGGAGTGTTAGTCCCATGTACGGTCGCGACGCCTCACACTTCGATTGCTTGTCACGTGGTTTCTGTTGCGCGGATTCGTGACGCCATTGCTCGGAATAACGTCAAGGAGATGTGCCTTGTATTCTTGCATGCTCTCCCCTCGCCGGACGGACCAGCAGCGTCACTGCCGGACCCACGCATTTCTCACCTCTTGGACGAGTATAGAGATGTCTTCGAGGCTCCCACCGGAACGGTTCCGGATCGGCCCATACGTCGCGGAATCACTCTCGAGGCTGGCGCCGCCCCTCCGCGTGGATGTATTTATCGCATGAGCGAAGAGGAACTCGAGGTGCTTCGCGCACAACTCGATGATCTTCTCGACAAGGGCTGGATTCGCCCTAGTTGCTCGCCATACGGTGCACCTGTTCTCCTCGTCCGGAAGAAGAACAAAGACCTACGGTTATGCATCGACTATCGAAAACTTAACACACAAACCGTAAAGAATGTCGACCCTCTCCCTCGGATTGATGATCTCCTTGAGCGGTTAGGCGGCGTGACATACTTCTCGAAGTTGGACTTGAAGTCAGGTTACCACCAGATTAAAATCCAGCCTTAAGACCGGTACAAGACCGCGTTCAAGACACGGTACGGGCATTTTGAGTGGGTCGTCATGCCATTTGGACTCACCAATACCCCCGCAACATTTCAAGCAGCGATGACGACTGAGTTTCGCGACTTGCTCGATCGCAGCGTCCTCATCTACCTTGATGATATCTTGGTTTATAGTAGGACGTTGGACGAGCACATCGTACAGCTTCGTGTTGTTCTGAATCGTTTGCGACTAGCCAAGTTCAAAGCGAATCTCGACAAGTGCGAATTCGCCAAGCAAGAGCTTGAGTACTTGGGTCATTTTGTCACGCTGAAAGGCATTCGTCCCTTAGCGGACAAGATCCAAGCCATCGTGAATTGGCCGGAACCCCGTTCCACGACGGATGTACGCTCTTTCATGGGGTTGGCTGGATATTATCAGCGATTCGTCGAGTCATACTCAAAAGTGGCCGCTCCTTTGTCGAGACTTCAGTCCCCGAAGGTGCCCTTCGAGTTCGACGACGCAGCCCGTGGCGCGTTCACTACGTTGAAGGCAGCGATGCAAGCCGCACCTGCCCTCCGTATATACGACCCCACCCTACCCACCCAAGTGACTACGGACGCTTCGGGATACGGTATTGGTGCGGTGTTGGAACAATGTCACGAGGACGGTTGGCATCCGGTTGAGTATTTCTCCCAAAAGGTGCCTCTCGTCAACACTCTCGACGACGCGAGGAAGAAAGAGCTACTCACGTTCGTCACCATTCTCAAACGGTGGCGCCAATTTCTTCTCGGCCGTCGGCGTTTCAAATGGAATACGGACAACAATCCGTTGACCTTTTATAAAACGCAAAACACGGTCACTAGCACGATCGGTCGATGAATGTATTACATCAACCAGTTCGATTTTGACCCGTGTCACATTCTCGGTCCCGCCAATCGAGTTGTGGATGCCCTCTCACGACGGCCCGACTTTTGTGCCATTGTGACCACGGCATTCGACCTCGATGACAATCTGCAGCCGCATTTCGTCAAAGGCTACAAGTCCGATCCGACTTACTCTACGCTTTACGCAGAGCTTTCATCGGATCACCCACCGGCTAGCCACTATCGAATTTCCGACGGGTTCCTTCTCCTTCACACGAGAGGAAAGGACTTGTTAGTGGTGCCCCAAGATCGCATCTTACGGACTCGTCTTCTCGGCGAATTCCACGACGCACGACTTTCGGCACACCTTGGTGTGAACCGCACACTAGTACGCCTCCGCCAGCGTTTTCACTGGCCCGACGTCCTTCACGACGTCACGAGGTACATTGAGTCATGTGCAGTTTGCCACCGTAACAAGGGTCGATCTCGAGTCCCCTTCGGCGAACTGAAACCGTTGCAGATCCCTCGGGCACCTAGCCTCTCCATTGCTATGGACGTGACAGGCCCGTTTCCCTGCGATCGCCACGGCCATGACGGTATTCTCACGGTCGTTGACCGTTTGAGCAAGTATGCTCGCTTCCTTCCTTCTAAGTATCATGCTGCAGCACTTGAGCTCGCACGACTCTTGCACACCGGTTAGATTACCAACCAGGGTGTTCCAGAAGATATAGTGAGCGACCGAGGATCTCGCTTCATGTCGGCCTTTTGGACTTCTCTCATGACTGAGTCCGGCACGACAATGAAGCCGAGCTCGGCTCGGCACCCTCAGACGGATGGTCAGACGGAGCGAGCGCACCAGACCGCTCAGATGATGTTGCGTACGCTCATCCGTCCCGACCAGAAAGATTGGGTTGACCGGCTTCCCGACATCGAGTTCGCCTACAATACTTCGGTGCACCCGGCGATCTACGTCACACCATTCGAGCTACATCATGGTGGAGAGAAAGCACGGATCTTCGCTGATCTCCTTTTGCCACAGGCTGCCGACATAGACGTCCCTTGCTCTCCCGCTTTCATCTGGAAGAACCGGGACTTACTGATCAAAGCCCGCGCAAATATGCAAAAGGCTCAGATCCGCATCCAGCAGCAAGCTAACCGACGTCGACTTCCATGTCCTTTCCGCGAGGGAGACCTTGTTTGGGTCCTCTCCGAGGAATTTGCGCTCGAGCAGGATGTTTCGCGCAAACTCCTTCCGAAATGGTTCGGACCATGGGAAGTCACTTCTGCCGTTGGAGACGACCCCGCAGGTCCTTCCTTCATGATCAACATTCCACCGCACCTAACAGTGCATCGGGTCTTCCACGCATCGAAGTTGGCCATCTACACGCCACCTTCAACTGACGAGTTCCCCGGACGTCGATCACAGGATCCGCCTTCTATGGACGGACATCAGGAAGTTGACCGAGTCATCACGCACCGCAAGTATGGCAACAAGCCAAGGCAGTACAAAGTCACGTTCAAGCAATGTGCACCTGATGACACTCGGTGGATCTCCAGTAGAGATTTGCAGACTTCTGCACCCCTCATCTTCGCCGACTATGAGAAGCGACGCCTTGCTAAGGACGCAGCTCGTCCCGCCCGACCCACCCCGATATCGGACAGACAACTTCGCCCTCGCAGGTAGCTCGGTCTTTTAAGAGGGGGAGTGTGTTACATCTTCGACGCACACGGGTCCTACCGGACCCGACTTAGGGGCGGAAGGACACATCAGGGCCTAAAGGCCCG